GACAGCCGTGTTTTAAACAGCTCTAGGTGAAGCTGGTCCCCACACTTCATTCAGGTTTCTAAAAGACTCAGGGTCTTTCTCTTGCCAGCGAAGCCCAGTTAGATATGCTTCTCTGTGCTTTCTTCCTTGCTAGCACTGATCACTCCAGAATCATAAATACCCAATTTATTTTTCTCGGTTTGTGAGTATTTTGAAGGCAGAGATTGTGTATGATTCATCTGTGATTCAGTCAGCCCACAATCAATTATTGGACACTTAGTAGTCACTGGACGGCTGGCCGCATTCGTAATCCATCTTTCCTGTCCCTTTAAGGGAACTCTCCCTCTCACTTTGACTGCTCAAAACCACATCACAAAAAAACTCAATCTGTTAATTTATAAAAACCCACCAGTCTCAGATCTCAGAAGAGGCTCTGAAACCTACTCTTGAATGTAGACAAGCTAAAGCAACTGGGGGGGAAATGAGGACATAAAAGAATTGAACAAAATAGTTCAAAGGGCAGCTCAAGAACAAAGTAAGGCATGATAATGAAATATGAAAAGACCTGGAAGTTGGAAAGCCAAAGGGAGGAACACATTCGGCATGTCTCAAGCTGAGAGTACTGCAGAAAACAGTCAAGCCCAGGGTTCCAATCTGGAGTGATTCTATGGGCAAACTATTAAACCATACTGGAAGCATCAAAAAATAGGGACAGAAAGTACAGTCACTGCACCAAAATCAACTGGTTCGCCTTCAACCATTTCAAGAAGTAGTATATCATCAAGAACAGAAAGCACTGAAGGAAGAGGTCGAAGCTGCCGGAAGACACTGGAGAAAAACAAGGAGCAGAAGGAATATCGAGATGCTTCCACAAACTAATGCAGGGCTGGAAGCACTCACTTGCCTATGCCAAGAAGTTATGAGGACAGCTATCTGGCCAACTGACTGGAAGAAATCCATATTGTCCCCATTCCAAAGAAAGGTGAGCTAACACAATGCAGACCTTGCCAAACCTATCATTCAAATCCTCTGCAAATATAATTCTTCTAAAAATAATTCAAAATCAGCTGTAGCTAGAAATTCAAGCCACATTCAAAAGAGGATATGGAATAAGAGATCTCAAAGCTGATGCCAG